CACACCAGAACACACACCAGAGCCACACACGCACCAAAGCCACACAATCACCAGACACACACACCAGAGCCTCACACACCAGAGTCACACACACCAGAGCCACACACACCACAGGCACACACCAGCCACACACCGGTCCGCAAATCACCCCACCAGAGCCGCACATCACAGCCGCAAACACACACACCAGAGACCACACACACAAGAACCACACACACCAGAGCCACTCACACACCAGACCAACACACACCAGATCCACACACAAACCAGAGCAACACACACCCTAGAGAATACACACCAGAGTAACACACACTAGAGCGACACACACCAAAGCCACACACCGCAGAGCCACACACACCAGAGCCACACACACCAGAGCGACACACACCAGAGCGACACAAACCAAAGCCACACACCCCAGAGCCACACACACCATAGCGAAACACACACCGAAGACACACACCTCAGAGCCACACACACCAGAGCCTCACATCAGACCCACACACTTGAGCCACACCTGCACACCAGAGCCACACACGCACACCAGAGCCACACACACTAGAGACACACACCAGACCCACACACACCAGAGCGACACATTAGAGCCACACATGCACACTAGAGCCACACACGCACACCAGAGCCACAAACTCCAGAGCCACACACACCAGAGCCACATTCACCAGAACCACACACACACACCAGAGCCACACACACCAGAGGCACACATACCAGGGACGCACACGCCAGAGCCACACACACCACCACAGAGAGCCACACATACCACTCACACACCAGAGCCACACACAGAGCCACACACACAAGAGCCACTCACACCACACACACACCTGAGCCACACACACACACCACACACACCTGAGCCACACACACACCAAAGCCACACACACCAGAGCCACACACACCAGAGACAAACACACCAGAGCCACACACGCACCAGAGCCACACACGCACAGAGCGACACACACACCAGAGCGACACACACACCAGAGTCAAACACACCAGAGCCATACACACACCATTGCTACACACCAGAACCACAAACACCAGAGCCACACACAGCAGGGCCACACACACCAGAGAAACAAACCAGAGCCACACACACCAGAGCCACACACACCAGAGCCACACACGCACCAAAGCCACACAATCACCAGACACACACACCAGAGCCACACACACCAGAGTCACACACACCAGAGCCACACACACCCGAGGCACACACCAAAGCCACACACCGGGTCCGCAAATCAGTGCCCCACACACACTGGAGCCGCACATCACAGCCGCAAACCAGAGCCACACACCAGAGCCAAACACACCAGAATCACACACTAGAGTCACACACACCAGAGCAGCACACCAGAGTTGCACCCCAGAGCCTCACACCAGAGCCACACACACCAGAGCCACACACCAGAGCCACACACCAGAGTCACATACATACCAGAGCTACACATCAGAGCCGCACACCAAAGCCGCACACCAGAGCCACACACCAAAGCCACACACACACCAGAGCCAAACACTAGAGCCACACAACAGAGCCGCACAACAGAACCAGACACACACATTAAAGCCACATACCAGAGCCGCATACAAGAGCCACACACGAGAGCCACACACCAGACCCGGTCATCAGAGTTGCACATCAGTGCAACACACAAGAGCCACACACACACCAGAGCCACACACACACACCAGACCCACACACACACCAGAGCCACACACACACACCAGAGCCACACACACACACACACACCAGAGCCACACACACCAGAGCCACACACACCAGAGCCACACATACCAGAGCCACACACACCAGAGCTACACACACCAGAGCCACACACACCAGAGCAACACACACCAGAACCACACACTAGAGCTACACAAACCAGCGCTACACACACCAGAGCCACACACACCAGAACAATACACACCAGAGCCAAAAACACCACAACCACACACCAGAGCCAAACACACTCCAGACCTTCACACTTAAACCACTTACACCAGAGCAACACACACGCCAGAGCCAAACACACCAGAGTCACACACACCAGAGCTACAAACACCAGACCCACACACCAAGCCCTCTCACACCAGAATCACACACCAGAGTCAAACACCAGAGTCACACACACCAGAGCCACACACACCAAAGCCACACACACCAGAGCCACAAATACCAGAGCAACACACACAAAAGCGAAACACACCAGAGCAACACAAACCAAAGCCACACACCCCAGAGTCACACACACCAGAGTCACACACACATCAGAGCGATACACACCAAAGCCACACACCCCACAGCCACACACACCAGAGCCAAACACACCTGAGCGACAAACATCAGAGCGACACACACCAAAGCTACACACCCCAGAGCCCCACACACCAGAGCGAAACACAGACGAGCGCCACACATCCCATAGCCACACACACCAGAGCGAAACACACACCAGAGCCACACACACCAGAGCTACTCACACCAGAGCCACACACACCAGAGCCACACACACCAGAGCTACATACACCAGAGTCACATACACCAGACCAACACACACACCAGAACCATACACTAGAGCCACACACACCAGAGCCACACACACCAGAGCCACACACACCAGAGCCACACACACCAGAGCCACACACACCAGAGCCACACACACCAGAGCTACACACTCCAGAGCAACACATACACAAGAGTAACACACACACAAGAGTAACACACACCAGAGTTACACACACCAGAGTTACACACACCAGAGTCACACACACCAGAGTTACACACACCAGAGTTACACACACCCGAGTCACACACACACACAAGAGTAACACACACAAAAGAGTAACACACACCAGAGCAACACACACCAGAGCAACACACACCAGAGCGACACACAAACCAGAGCCACACACACCAGGACCAAACAGCAGTGCCACACACACCAGAGCAACACACTCAGAGCCACACACACCAGAGCCACATACCAGAGCTACACACACCAGAGCCACACATCAGAGCCACATACACCAGAGCCACACACACCAGAGCCACACACACACTAGAGTCACACACACCAGAGCCACAAACCAGAGCCCCACACAAAAGAGCAACACACACCAGAGCCGCACACCAGAGCCAAACTTTCCAGAGCAACACACAAACCAGAGCCCCACACAGCAGAGCCACACACACCAGAGCCACACACACCAGAGCCACACACACACCAGAGCCACACACACACCAGGGCCAAACACCACAGCCAATCACCAGAGCGACACACACTAGGGCCACAAACCAGAGCCCCACACAGCAGAGCCACACACACCAGAGCCACACACACCAGAGCCACACTCACACCAGAGCCACACACACACCAGGGCCAAACACCACAGCCAATCACCAGAGCGACACACACTAGGGCCACACACCAGAGCCACACATACCAGAGCCACACACACCAGAGCCACACACACCAGAGCCACACACACACCAGAGCCACATACCAGAGCCGCACACACTATCACCACTACCACGGTGTCTACCAGCACCCCCACTGTGTCTACCAGCACCACCACTGTGTCTACCAGCACCTCCACTGTGTCTACCAGCACCACCACTGTGTCTACCAGCACCACCACTGTGTCTACCAGCACCACCACTGTGTCTACCAGCACCACCACTGTGTCTACCAGCACCACCACTGTGTCTACCAGCACCACCACTGTCTCTACCAGCACCACCACTGTGTCTACCAGCACCACCACTGTGTCTACCAGCACCGCCACTGTTTCTACCAATCCCCACCACTGTGTCTACCAGCACCACCACTGTGTCTACCAGCACCGCCACTGTTTCTACCAATCCCCACCATTGTGTCTACCAGCACCACCACTGTGTCTACCAGCACAGCCACTGTGTCTACCAATCCCCACCACTGTGTCTACCAGCACCACCACTGTGTCTACCAGCACCACCACTGTGTCTACCAGCACCACCACTGTGTCTACCAGCACCACCACTGTGTCTACCAGCACCACCACTGTGTCTACCAGCACCTCCACTGTGTCTACCAGCACCACCACTGTGTCTACCAGCACCACCACTGTGTCTACCAGCACCACCACTGTGTCTACCAGCACCACCACTGAGTCTACCAGCACCACCACTGTGTCTACCAGCACCACCACTGTCTCTACCAGCACCACCACTGTGTCTACCAGCACCACCACTGTGTCTACCAGCACCGCCACTGTTTCTACCAATCCCCACCACTGTGTCTACCAGCACCACCACTGTGTCTACCAGCACCGCCACTGTGTCTACCAGCACCACCACTGTTTCTACCAATCCCCACCACTGTGTCTACCAGCACCACCACTGTGTCTACCAGCACCGCCACTGTTTCTACCAATCCCCACCACTGTGTCTACCAGCACCACCACTGTGTCTACCAGCACCGCCACTGTGTCTACCAATCCCCACCACTGTGTCTACCAGCACCACCACTGTGTCTACCAGCACCGCCACTGTTTCTACCAATCCCCACCACTGTGTCTACCAGCACCACCACTGTGTCTACCAGCACCGCCACTGTGTCTACCAATCCCCACCACTGTGTCTACCAGCACCACCACTGTGTCTACCAGCACCCCCACTGGAATGTGACCCTATGACCTCCTCACTGGAAACCTGGAGGTCAAGTGATGACCCCTTGACCTCAGCTGCTCTAATTAGAATCCTTACATTTTCTTAGTAAAACTCTCACCTGCTCTAAGGAAAACTCTCACCTGCTCTAAGGAAAACTCTTAGCTGTTCTAAGTAAAACCCTAACCTGCTCTTCGTAAAACTCTAACCTGCTCTAAGGAAAACTCTCACCTGTTCTTAGTAAAACTCTCACCTGCTCTAAGTAAAACCCTAACCTGCTTTTAGTAAAACACTCACCTGCTCTAAGTAAAGGTAAAACACTAACCTTCTCTAAGTAATGAAGCGAAGCTCTCTTCATCACACTGGTGCTCTGGGACCTGAATGTTTTATTGAACCTGTAAATATTAATAAAATTTCATTCTGTAATTTTCTTCTAATAGACCAGGATTGTAGTTTAACACTTACATGGGTATTGACTGTGGGAGTTTGATTTACTCTATTAGCTTTGGGATATCGAAAGGAGCACACAATTGGGTCTCATGATCCCAAATTTTCTGAAAGAGCCAGCCAATGGGACACTCTTTCAGGTTGCTCTTCCTGACCCACTCCTCCAAATGACATCAAACAGGCCAAATAGGAAACTCAATTGAGAAGAACACTGTTTCATCAATACTGTTGGCAGCCTCGGGGAAAGACAATGCACGCTCCCTCGCTCTCGCTGTGCAAGCTCCCTATGCTGGAGACTTCCTGTTGGCTCTCCCTAATTCCTCCATGGGCACCCACTTGAATCTTCGATCCCTTAGTATTGGTGTTGTTTAGCGCCTTGCCGCCCTTATCTCCACCAAACACCGTTGAATCTGCGGCTATGTTTTGGCAGACCAATACGGCAACCATGGTCTCATCTGTCATTAGTCACAGAGAAAGATTGCCAGACATGAAGCAGTCCATTATATTATCAAGAGAAGCTTAGCTACAGCTGGGTGTCCAGCAGAAAGGGAACCTCAGTTGTGCAGACCTGACAACAGCCACAAACCTCCTGATGGAGTAACGCTGCAGCCATTGAGGGATGGTAAACCAGACGCATGGGACTACACGCGTGCATCTACATTGGCTGATACCTGTCTACTTCACAGTACAGCTGAGGGATGTGGGGAAGGAAGAACCACCTTCAGGAAAACCCAGAAAACTAATAAGCAGGGACCTAGAACATTTTTACAAGTTCATGCCAATAGGCAGATATGGTAGAGGAAAATTCGTCAGGTGTCTGTACTATATTAGACAACCGAGTGTTAGAAAGGCGAGTTCAAAAAGCTACCAGCTCGATTTTGCAGGCATAAATAGTAAATATAAATAATAAACACCCACACCCATACACACCCCAAAAATACTAGAGCTAAGATATATATAATTCAGCTTAAAAGGTAACAGATATTGTCTCACTAACAGAGGACGAAACTTGAAGAAAATATCTTAAATGAGCTTTAATTTTTACGGGGCTCCTCAGTTTGAAGACGTGACAGGAAAACTAGGAAAAAGGGGAGGAGTGGCTGTGCTAGTGAAAAAAATACCTGAAGCTAAGAGAGTTAATAACCGAAACCCTCGAAGTTGACATATTGGCTTTGCAGGTCTTGAATCAGGATGATAAACTGATAATCGTAAATGCCAATAGCCAACTAGCAATCAACACACGGACAAAGGAGTAACTGTATGACAAACGAGTGGGCCTCATAATGGTCATAAGAGAGATTGTAGTAAGGGACGATAGAGATAAATAACGATTATTGGTACTGGAGACTTCATCTTGAAAGTAATAGACTGGGAGGCCTACTAAACAAGAACGGAGGACATTTGGACAGGTTGATTTGTAAGGCTCATTCTGGAGACATTTATGTATCAACACGTCAGGCAGGCCACAAGAATGAGGGAAGGGGAATGTTCCGTCAGTACTAGACATAAAATTCACCAGGAAAGAAGAGGCGATATTTGACATCCAGTACATTGTTCCCTCAGGAAAGAGTGATCATGTCCCGTTGGAAATTAAATATGCTTTGCGATATAATCTAGAAGAGAATGGGGACATGAAAACCGTTGATAAATTCGATTTCAAGAGAGGACACTATGAGGAATTTAGATTTTTTTAATGAGTTTAATTAGACAGACTTGTTGCTAGGCAAGGAAGTATGCCAAATTTTGCAAAATATACGATAAAGGCACACAAACATTCTTACCAAAACAGAGATGCAGGACCAGAAAACAGTATTGGTTCAACAAAAATTGTGACAGGGCCAGAGAGGAAAGACAAGAAGAATGGGTTCAATATCAAAAGAGGCCTAACCCGCAAACGTCCCAGCACTACAAGGAAGCAAGAAACAATTAATTACACAGCAGTGAGGAGAGAGGCAGAGGGTTTGAAAAAGTATAGCAGACACATATAAAACGGATTTAGGCCTTTTCTATAAATTCATTCAAAGCAAGCTGCATGTAAAAGATAAAATCCAGAGATAGAGAACAAAAAACAGGACTACTGAGAATGAAAAATAAATGTGGGAAATTCCAACGTGTGTTTGTACAAAATAAGTATTTCAGAGATCCGAACCAAATACCAATTCCAGAACACGCCAAAGAATACATAGAGGTATCTCAAGACGAAGTGGAGAAATTGCTCATAGGACAATGAAGAAATAAACCAGTTGGACAAGATTGAGTTTCACCTTGGGTGCTGCGAGAACTGAACTGAGCATGCCACTCCAATTAATTTTCCATACATCCTTGTGCACAGGAATCTTACCAGACATGTGGAAAAGGAAAACATAGTACAAATCTATGAAAACCTCTAAAATTATAGACCCGTGTCATTAACAAACATGGTAGTAAAAACACTAGAAACAGTAATTGTGAAACAGTAAACACTAGAAAAACAAGTGAAACAGTAAACACTAGAAAAACAAGTGAAACAGTAAACACTAGAAACAGTAAAACAGTAAGGAAAATTAGGTCACATGGAGGAGTAGGTCTGTATATTAGGGAAGACCTTGTATGCTCGGAGCTCCTAAACGTTACAAATGAGGTGGTAGAGGTACTGGGATTAAAAATAGAGAAAATTAATTTAGTGATTATTCAACCCGTTCTCGCAAATTTAATAAGTCAATATTGACTTATTAAATATGTGCATAGGTGACATACTTAACATAATAGATACCCTTAAAAAGATTCATAGAAAACACCAACCTTACCTAACCTTGTTAGTATCTTAAGATAAGCATCTTATTGCTTCGTAATTACAATTATTACCTAACCTATAATAGGTATAGGTTAAGTAATAATTGTAATTACGAAGCAATAAGATGCTTATCTTAAGATACTAACAAGGTTAGGTAAGGTCGGTGTTTTCTATGAATCTTTTTAGGGGTATCTATTATGTTTAGTATATCACCTATGCACGTAGTTAATAAGTCAATATTGACTTTACGAATTTGCGAGAACGGGTTGGATTATTCTAATATACAAACCGCCAGATGCAACGGCTGAGGAATTCACAGAACAGATAAACAAAATAGAGAATAGCCTTGATAATTTGGAGAACCCGATACCTGATATTATCTTCCTAGGTGACTTCAACTTGCCTAGTCTCAGGTGGAAAATAGCAACCAATAATATTATACCAGGAAATCTATCAGGATCTAACCAACCACAGATTAGAGAACTACTTAGATTCTGTGACAAATTTTCACTCAATCAGCAGATATCGGAGCCAACGAGAAATGAAAATATTTTAGATCTTGTCTTTACGAACAATGAAGACATTATCAGAGACATTACGATATCAGACACCACATACTCAGATCACAAGCTCATTGAAGTGTAAACGACCATCAATACTCAGAATAGACCAAAAACGTTGATAAAGCGAGAGGGGCTATTCAGTAAATTCAATTTTAATAATAAAAGGATAGACTGGGAGATAATAAACAGGGAACTTACAAACATTCCATGGGAAACTGCTCTAAGTAATACAAGTCCTACAGAAGGAACAGAAAAACTGACTTCGGAAGAGTATCAAGTCTGTCTGAAACATGTTCCTTTGAGGAAAGCCAGAAAGATATCCAACATAGAAAGAGAACGCAGACGACACTATAAACGTAGGAAAAAAATAACGGAACTGCTTATGCAGACACGAATTTCCCGTCAAAGAAGGAATAATTTAAATAGGGAGATTGAAGAAATCGAGCGGAAATTTAAACACTCATATGAAACTGAAGAAAGGCAGTTAGACCAGAAAGCAATTCAAGAAATAAAGAAAAATCCAAAATATTTCTTCACATATGCAAAATCAAAAGCAAAAACCACTGCACGTATTGGACCGATTCGTACAAGTGAAGGTTCATACACAGAGGATGACAAAGAAATTAGAGAAATTCTAAAAAAGCAGTATGAAGACATGTTTAGCACTCCAATAAACAACATGAAAGTGGAAGATCCAGACAATTTCTTTATGCGGGATATTCAAACCCCTGTAAATATAACTGATATCAACACGAGCCCACTAAATTTTGAAAGAGAAATTAAAAACATGCCCATGCACTCGGCCCCAGACTCATGGAATTCAATATTTATAAAGAAATGCAAAGTGCCGGTAGCACAGGCACTCAGTATAGTGTGGAGGAAGAGCTTGGACACAGGGGAGATTCCAGATGCACTTAAAGTTGCAGACATAGCCCCTCTACACAAGGGAGGGAGCAAAGCATTGGCAAAGAATTATAGACCAGTTGCACTAACATCGCACATCATAAAAGTATTTGATAGAGTGATTAGGAGTCAGGTCACCAATTTCATGGAGACCAATGACCTTCACAACCCAGGCCAACATGGATTTCGAGCGGGAAGATCGTGCCTCTCACAGCTACTTGAGCACTACGACAAAGTCACTGAAGCATTAGAAGAAAAACAGAATGATGATGTGATATACACGGACTTCGCAAAGGCTTTCGATAAATGTGACCATGGCGTGATAGTACACAAAATGAAGTCAATGGGAATAACCGGTAAAGTAGGACGCTGGATACTCAGTTTTCTGTTGTTACGGTGCCCTCTCCTATTTCTTTCGTTTGCCGGCTTAAAGAGTCATATCAGCTCTCCCTACTGATTCTCTGAGGTTCAGGGAGTCTATTGATATATGTGGCGACCAGACCGGCTGCCAGTTAAGGGAAGGAAGTTATATTATAAGTTGTAAATAAAGGAAAATTGGCGCCCTGTTATAAAATGAAACAGTATCCCCTATGGCAGATATGACCTTTTGGAAGGGACATTAGCCGATCGCGGATTGGCCGACGTGGGTCGCGGGCGACAAATCAGGGCCCGCCATGACGTCACCGAGTGCCCCGGGCGGCGCCAACGT